TCGGTGTGACTGCTAGAGACACGCAGCAGCTAACGTGTGAAATACAAAGCCACAGTGACAGAAAAGGCTCTTTTTTTTTTCCTTTGTCACTCAAGACAGCATTACCTGAATTCAAAAGCTGTTCATCTGAAGATGCAAATGCCTATAACTTGAGTTAAAAAAGAAATAAAATAAAAAAATATCTACATTTCCCCATTCTCCACCCCCACTCCTTATTTTTATTGCCAGTTTTCAGTTGTTCATTAATTAGGTGGGGGTTGTTTCCTAGTTTTATGACTTTCAATGTTCCTTTTAAATTTTTGTACCCTCTGGTTGAATTTCTTTCTACAGAATCTTTTCCAAGGAGAAGGCAGGGCAGAAGAGCAACAAAGTGGTAAATGCATATAAAACTCTCAAATTCTTGAAATGTGTCAAGAATACATATTTGGTTTATATCCAACTTCTACAATATCCATCTGTTTTAAAACAAGCAACCCCAAGATTTTCTGATCAAAGTGTGATTTCCATGTTTGCACTCTCTCTTTCCGTAGATACAATATTTCCTATGGTTATGACCTGCACTGAAGATGACAGGAAAACTGTTAGCTGTTAAGGACTGTCAGCTCCCCATACTCTTCTGTGACTCAGGGCAGGGGAGGGTACCCATCTGGCAGATGCTCAGCGAGGCAAGGAAGACTTGACCTTTTCCTGGCAGTAGAAGCTTCATGAACTTTTCTCTGTGTTTGGGCTACTGCCAAGTGGCCACACACGTTATTTATCCACTAGTTTGCCCCCAGTAAGTTGGTTGTTTGTGCCAGCATTGCAGACCATAAGGGAAATGTAGGGAACATTTAATCTGCCAAAACAGAATGAGAGGTTAGAGAAAGCTGAGATTTTATTTTTGAAGGTTGGTACACTTGGGACTTCCAAGTCTAAGAGCGTTTTCGTTTTATACTGCAAACATGGAAGAGTTTAGTGTAACATAGTAAGTTCTTTGAGCGCTGCCTGGTAATGTTACTCTAAATAGCCTGCAACCCGACTGGTTGGAGCAGAGTTGTTCCTTCCAGGTGCATGCCTGTATAAAAACCTTTGGAGGGTGCATCCACCCACAGGAAACTTCCAGTGCCCTCTATCACAGCAGGTACTGCATGGCTGCCCAGCTAACCTCGCCTGACATGCCTTTGTGTTCTCTGCTAACTAACAAAGGAAATACGTTTGTCTGAATTCTTTTATTTCAGGTCAGCTGTGTTAGTCCATGAAATCCAGCTTATCTAACACCTACTATTTTGTAATGAGTCATTGCTGGCTTTCACTATTCGGATGCATTTACCTTGTGGACTCAAATATAGATTTACTATAGTGATGATCCTAGCACTGGCATTGCCTTTATTTCCTAGCATTTATATTAAAGAGGGTTTATTTTATTTTTTAAAATTTATTTAGTGCATGATGAGAACACGGATGTTTGTGTATGGTATGAGTGTATGGCTAAGCCCTATATCACAAAGAACACACTGCAATTGCATTTCCCACGTGAGTAAATGGAATTGGCTTTTGCCCAAATAATTCAGACTAAAACAGACTACGCTATGCAACTTTGTGTGGAGGTGTGAGAAACACTTCAGCAGAGTTGTGTTTACAGCTGAAGACCCAGTGACACAGTATGGCTCACTAACCTACTTTTTTTGACCATGTAGCTAGATTTGAAAAGCTTTTTCAAACAATAGATTTTGAAAGTTTAAGAGACACAAAGTTTACTCTTATAGGTGATAAACTGTTACCTTAAGGTTTACCATCATCTTACAATTTGCCTGTTGGTGTTTAATTACCTTGTTAATTTAATGTGGCATTGTCAAATAGATACAGTTTTATGAATTATTCTTTCTTCCTTAGGTTCTGAAGAAATCAAATGTGATTTTGTAAGTTATCTGGTTGACAACAGTGTAAGACTATTAATGAAGTCAGTAGTGGTTTCAAAACTTTGGAAAGCATGGAACTTAGATGATTATTTCCCATCAGGATCACTTTGCAAAGAAATCATCTGCTAACATTCAGAAAGAGCCAACATTTTCTAAGGGAACAGATTTGGGTTGCAATGTTATTAAATCAAAATTCTTTTAGATAATTTCCAGTAAAATATGGATCAGAAAAAAGTCAAAATAGTAAGAAATGTCAGTTTTTCCAATTCTAGATGCACAGCAACTTAATCATATTACACATAGGGCATGTAATAACACAAACACCACTCAGTACTCACTTGTGTCTGTAGTCTTCAGGTACAGTTTGTCAGTTAAGAAGATAAAATAAAACTGTGCATCATTAAGGCCAAGATGCTAATATTCAATTACAAGACTAAATCTGTCCTATAGTTTGCAACTAAAAAAAGCTTTACTTTTAACTCCATTTTAAGACATATTTAATAGTTATGGCAGTAGGATGGAGATACATATATATAAATAAATAAAACCCCTTTCTGTTTAGGAAAAGCTACACCAATGGAAAAATATTGATGGTATTATAGCATCTAGAAGCCTCAGCCATAAACCAGAGCCTAGTGTGTTAAGTGACATCCAAACATAGAATGCATAATCTTTATCCCCTGAATTTACCACCTAAGAGCTCAGGCAACTGATGGTCTTAAGGACCACACCAGTCCCACTACAGGACCAGTGTAACCACGAGGTGGTTTTTACACCTCTGGATCATTTTAAGAAGGGACTTAATGAAACAGCTAAGTGTCTTTATAAATATTTAAACAGACTCCTATTTTAGAAGAGCTCGAAGGACAAAAATGGGAGAAAGCATAACAATTTTTAATTTTAGAATGTAATATAACATGCCTAGTCAAACTTAGAATTCGGTCTGTACTGAATGAGTGATGATAGGATATATATCATGATCAGAGATGCAGTTGTATTTACTGCAAGTACTTAACAGTGGATCAACAAATACTTATTTACTAAGCATGTTTCCAAGCTATTTTCTGGTATTCACTGCTACCCATAGCCAACTGAAATTTTGACCTATTGAAAGAACAACTTGTTTAAGCAAGGAAAAAATACGGAAGGATCACTTTCTACCCAGACTGACAAATTAAACAGTTCACTCATTAAAAAAGACCTTCTGTCTTTTACATAAAAGGAGTACTGGGCAAGGCAAAGTTTCATCCTGCTTCACGATTTCAGGATTGGCTTTTCACTGAAATAGCACAAATTTCATGCTACAAGAGCCTTCCCCCCCCCAAAAAAAAACCAACAAAAAACCCCCCAACACAACAACAACAACAAACACACACCAAAACAAACCAACCCTCCCCAAAACCCCCAAATTAGAAAATGTTAGTGCTTTTCATGTTTAAACATTAAATGTTCAGAAGACCGGGTCTTCAAGCAAGTGTCTTCTGGCTATAGCCATCACCAGTTCTGACAGATTCTTCTCTCTTCATTTATGTAATTTGTCATTACACAAGTCTTAACATACTTTCCCAGAGATTTCATAAAACATTGAAACAGGACCGGATTTTATTCTAGCTCAAGGCATGAAAAAGAGGCATTGCTGAAAACTGGAAGTATACTTCTTATTACATGAGAAACCATTCCTGCTGTAAGGAGGCACACTTTCATGTGTGAAATGTGAACATGGATGCATTCAGCCATATGTCAGGGAATGCAGTAACTGTAGCACTAATTTCTGTCTCTCACCTACTATCATTGTATCTCGAATTAGACACAAAAGGTGTATATAGCCAGAACTTGTTACTAGCTAGATGAAGCCCCTCTGAGGAAAAAAATAATTTAAAAATACATCTGCAGAAATCAATTTACTTTAAAGCACTCTCTTTTCTGAAAGAGTGTAAAGAAAAAAAAATCAGTGTGACAACTGAACAAATGCAGTGTCAGAGGCATTAGAACACAAATCCTGTCCTTCTGAATAAATGGAGCAGCAATATGAAATATATCAGGTATCAGTAAAGCTGCAATGGTGTTAATATCATGTGTGCAAATCAAACCACCCACCCAAGTCAACAGCCACTCTGCTCCTTAAAAAACTACCTGCAGGCACTACTGAGCCTCCTGGCCACTGCCAAACCTCTCCCCTGTATGGCTAGGCTATCTAGAACAGCCTCCTGCAGCATGATGCAACCCAGATTATACAACACTGTCTGCAGTGCATGTGGCTGGAGAGAGCAAATATGCATCCTCAAGAATGAGCAGAATAAGGCCACTCATGGATAAAATGCAGCACACTCCAGACATCATGATACATCAGAAGGGTGAACCTGTACAGCCTCTGGCTATGAACCATTTTTTTTTCCTCTTTATACATGTATAGATGGATAGATAGATACCCACCTACCTACCTACCTACACACCTATCTATCTATCTATCTATCTATCTATCTATCTATCTATCTATCTATCTATCTTCACACACACAGATATGCATATAACATAGGTGCTATCACTGAAAAAAACCTTTAGTTAAGCAAAGTTGCACTGGCATATTTCTCCCCAGGCTAATTTAGATCCAATCCTATCCCTGCTTTTACTGCTTGTTAGCTGGTACCAAGCAGTTCCTTATGTTGGGTGCCACCCTGTACACTAAAAATGCATAGTCATTCATAAACACAGTTCTCCAAAGCAGCTTACTGATTCAAACTTCTCAGTGCAATTACTTCCTGACTGCAATCTGCATACTCTGCAGTTCACTACATTTCAGGGTAATTCAATTAGGTGTTCTGCAGGAAAAGGCAGAGAAGAGAAGGCAAGTGTATACAAGGAGACAAAATCAAGAGCACTGGCTGCAGCAAATTAACCAGTTTTACTGCAGGAATGCCAAGTCTCAAGTTCTTTGGAAAATGGTAAATTGAACATATCGAAGTCATGGACATTAAAAGAGAACTCGTCTTTCTCAGCTGTTGCTTCAGTTGATAGGAGTGCCATGCAAGCAGTTCATTTTTCAGATCAATTAGTGGCATCAATTCAGTGACATAATGCTAAGGTTTTGCATAAATGATAAAATAAACACAATAATAAATGTGATAGACATGATAAAATAAAAACTCTGATAGTATTACTACATTACCAGAAAGTGCTTGCTGCAGTTTCCAGTGGAGTGGGGATGACACCTTTCATCATGGTTTCCTGTTCCTTCAACCTGTTATTGAAAAAACCCCAGAACCAAAGCCCAACCAAACTACCTGCTGTCTTCTTCCAGACATCTCATACAAAGAGAGTGCCTGCAAGCTTTTACAACAGTACTTTTCCCCTTCCATTTCAGGTCTTTTACCATGATCTCAGCACAGCAGCCACTGTTCCCCAACAAAATTCAAAGAGTAATGGACTGCCAAATTAAGGAAGAAGAAACTTGTGAAGAGCAGTATGACTCTGAAAACTGCACTTGCAGCTGTAAGAGTGCATCATCAACAGCAGAATCCAACACAGGTTTAATCCAACTTTAATACTGGAATTGCTGTGGCATGCTAGCGCTTTGTACTTGTCATTTTTCTCAGTCTTCAAGTGACAGATGTTGCCACGTCACTTTTCCTTTCGATCTCTACTTTTTTCCCAGCATTTACCCTTATGTTTGTATTTATTATCGGACCAAATCTACAAAAAATGCTATATTCGTAATTAAGATGTCTGTTTAAAAAGGTTTCTGGATTTTATTCAGACATCTAAGAATTATTTCTCAATTACAATCAGACACAAGATTATGACATGCATGAAGCATGAAGCATGTTGAAGCTGTGGCATTACAAATATCAACAGGCTAAACTGCTCAAACACCTACCAAGGATTCCAGGCAGACATCAATTAAAATCCACGCAAGCCAGAGCAAAAATGTTTCCTTACAGTTAATTTTGTGCCATCTATAAATATCCTGCTAACAGGCTTCCAACAACAGTCATTCAGAACAGTGTCCTTGTTTCCAGTGAGATCAGATGGAGCTGCACACCAGAGCCCTCCTGAAAATTGTCACCTCGGGGCCGACTTGCTATGATGAGACATGCTAGTACAACTGCAGTACTGACTCGCTGAATGGCACTGTACCTTACAATCCTGCTTTTGTGGAAGAATGGTTAAAAAATAATCACTAAAAAGAGCTAGGTTTTCTTCAATGTAAGACGTAAATCCTAAATCCTTCTTTTGCAAAAAGAAGCTGAATGTTCTAGATCTGTTGGCCCCACAAATGATAACTACAGCACAAACCCCTGCATGGCATACTGTGGAGTAGTATGAACCAAAATACAAGCTAACTAGGTCCTGAAAGTCTTCTAGCTGTCATTAGCAAAGTTATATGTTTAAATCATCAGATTTTTCTAAATGGCCCATGCAAATACTCAGGATGGCAGGAAATGACCATTGCTCCTTTCATTCCCTAACCAGCTAGACCATCTACCTTTGGACAGCAACTAGTCTCAAGGTTGATGGCCTAACAGCTTTTCTAGTCCACATACCTATGTACTACTTTTCCAAAATATTTTTCTTGCTTTAACAAGTTTCATATAAACACCTGCATATAAACCCACAAATTCTGTCTTTTCTCTCACAGATTCACCAGTAATTCTTAAAATACTACAGAACTGGGTTCCTAGAGTTTCACACTACTTTGATAAAGAGCACTACACGTACGTTGGCCACCAGATCATCATTCAGGAGTCCATAGAACACTTTGGAGCTGTGGTATGGCCGGGGGTAAGTACATGATACAACACTCAAAGCTGACACGACAGAAGAGTAAACCATGACTGCAGCACACAAATATTAAGGAAGCTTTCTTAGATGACAATTCTGACAGCAGAGGTTTGCCTATGCAGAACAAAGCTGAGAAGGGCTTTGGCAGAAAGCTCTGCCTTTATGCTAACCTGACAGTTCATGCCAGGAGAACTATGGCACCTAAGCATTTGTAAATTGGATACAGATATTTAAAAAAAAAAAAATTAAAATAAAGAACTTAGGAAGAAGTGTTCAGCTTCCTCCATGTTTCACTGCTGGGAAGTAAACAAACAACAGTACAAAAAGGAGGCTGAAAAAGAGAACTGAGAGACTAAATAAAGGAGGTTAAAACAATTAAATATGCTTCTTTTAAAGAATAGGCTGGAACAGTTCCATTGTAGTATGAAAAACCATACTTGCAAGCAGTTGTTCTTCAGTCTTTGCTCCTCCTGCTCTTAAAAACTGCCTCTGAGGGAAGAGAGGGTCAGCTGATAAAGACACAAAAATTAGAATTTCAAAATTTTTCAGATCCACATTTATTGAAAAATTTCACAGAAAGTGGCAGACAACTTCAAAACAACAGAGAAAAAGAAAGCGTATGGGCAAGTGAAACAATATCTTATTTTGAAATGTCAGATCATCAGTTCTCACATTAATCAGGTGTCAGAATGCAGATAGTAAAACTTCCCAAGAAAATCAAGAGGTTGCACAAATTGGACTGGTGATTCAGTGAGCTTTCCCAGAGCAGGTAGACAGTGTTGCATTATGAAAAAGCACAAGAGTTAAAACAGTAACACAACTCTAAAAGGGGGAAGATAGTTTCTTTGGCATCAGTTTATGTTGTTTATAAACAGCTGATTTATATTCTATTGATAAGATCTTCACAAAGGTCTGATAAGCAATACTTCCATACAGTGTTGGTTTTGTTGTTTGGGTTTTTGTTTGGTTTTTTTTTTGTTTTTTTTTTTTTTTTTTAAAGTTCACACTATTATCAATAGACAAGTGTTGAGTTGGTAAATAACAATTTTTTAATATTTCCCTTATTAAAAAACCAAAACTCAATTATCAAAAAAAACCCTGCTGAAGCCTGAATCTATTTTATGATAGTGATAATAATACCATTTATAATAATCCAGAACATTACTTTTTACATATTGTTAAACCTCTTGTTTGCTGTTCTGACTGTATGGTTCACATCTAAACACTGCCTACCCTGAGCTGTCAGAGGACTCACAGTGTATAGAAGTGTGTAGCAAATCCATATCCCATAAACATAAAACTAACAATAAGCTGTTTAATTTTTTTTTTTGATATAAAAAACAGGACACATCATAATTCTTTCCATATTACATTTTTATGTTACAACCTTCAGTGGTTTTCATTGTATAAAAAAACCTGTATAAAAACATCTAACGAACCTTTTGTGTAACTTACCCGTTACACTGTTATGGATATGTGTTAACCGTTTTAGGCACTGGCTTTATCTCAATATCTGGAATCAAATCAAGAACAATTCAACCTCAAAGACAAAAAAGTTTTGGAAATTGGCGCTGGAACAGGCTTGGTTTCCATTGTGGCCTGTATCTTAGGTTAGTAAATTCATATTTCCTTTTGGATTTCTTGTGAAAGATTATTTAGATCTGCCCCTGTCACTTTAAGGCATTGAAGCAACAGTTGAAGCAGACTTTGTCACTGCTTTTTTTACAATGAAAATTATTGTAAAATACTGTTAGTAGATTAACTCCCTAGTTATTGGTGAGGGGGAAGCTGGGGAAGTTATGTAGATAGAGTTTTATATATATATATATAGATATATAGATATATAGATATATATATATATATATATAGTCAACTACATACCTATGAATTGAAACAAATTCATGTTTTCTTTAGGAGCTTATGTTACAGCTACTGATTTGCCTGAAGTCCTTGAAAATCTCTCATATAATATTTCAAGAAATACACAAAACCTGAATATGCATAAACCTGAAGTGAGAAAACTAGTATGGGGAGAAGACCTCAATGAAGACTTTCCTGTATCAACTTACCATTATGATTTCATACTGGCCACTGATGTTGTTTACCATCATGCAGCTTTGGACTCCCTGCTAGCAACAATGGTGTATTTTTGTAGGCCAGGAACAGTATTACTATGGGCAAATAAATTCAGATTCAGTACAGACTATGAATTTCTAGAAAAACTTTGCAACATATTTCACACAACCATTCTAGCAGAATTTCCAGAATCAGATGTCAAGCTGCTTAAAGCCACAGTAAGAGAGAATTAAAGAAAAACTATTACTAATTCTGATTTAGTGGCAGCACCTTTCGGAATGTTTTGGAGCATTACGGTGTACCCTCTGTACATTTACGTTTGTGAAGTTGCAGCTGTAGCTGAGTTTTGCATTACGAGTTATGCAAAAACAGGCAAGACAAATGATACAGCAATTCGTCTCTGGCTGATACACATGACCTGTTCAAACAGACCAATTTCACTCCACTGAAGGAACAATGTTATTAGTAACAATAGTTAGTAAAAAGGCTTTAACAGAAAACACTGACCTTCTGGGCTGCACTGAACTTCTATTATTTGTAATGTGTTTTCTTTCAACAAGTTCCATTTCTGTACTCTTTCAGAATCCAATACAATTTTTAGCTTCGTTATTTGTTTTTATTAATTATAAAATGATCTTTCAAATTATCAGAGTGCATATGGTGTTTTCTGATCCTCAACTTTGCACACATTTATTCTGTTTTACATTTTTAACACTATTAAACATATATGTATAGCTTTACAATACCTGATCAAGATTTAACTGTCTGGCACTTTTATACATGTATCAGCCTGTCCTGATACGCACTTTCACATGGATTTTTGAGTTTGCCTGAAATCACTTAAAAATAAAGATTTACAAGAGCACCTATGCGTCAGCAATTCCAAGTTACACATTGTAACAGTTTGAGAGGTTGAATTTTTATTAAAAAAAATAAATGTAAACTTTTGCAAACAATAATGATGTCCTGTTACTTTTGTCTAATAAATAAGATTTTAGCTACTCCTGAAGTAGCTTTAAGGCCTTCATACAATTGAAATTAAGATCAAACATGTTAAAATTCAGTTTACTGTAAAAAATACAGAGCTTTTACAGATTTGCAGTTAAAAGTAACAGTTAAGAACCTAACATGCATGCAGTAAGCCTTTCCAGCTTAATTCCAAATCCTTGGTGTTGGCAGTTCTGGCATGTCCATTGCCAGCAATGGGATGCACAATAAGGGAACTCCCTGATGACAGGAGTTAGGTTAACAGGTATTAAGCTGTACCCAGGTGCCTTTACTGATAAATACACACAATTTAATAATCAGCATTCATTAATGAAAACATGCGTTCCAATAAAAAGTCAAACTTATCTTTTCATATCCTGCCCCATATAAAATCACTTTAAGTTTACAATTGTTGGTTTTCTAGAATGCACAATAATCAGGTGGATACATGACAGGAAGCCAATTTTCAGTGAAAGTTGCACAATGAGTCCATCCAAGCAACTTCATCAGCTGAAGAAAAAAAGTAAACATTAAAACAAAATTAGAAGCTATATGGTCTTATTCTTTTAAAAATCTAAATCCTTTCACTGCACTGATATCAACATCTTACTAAAAATGTCTATTACCAGAAAGATAACAGACTGAAGAACTAGTAAACTTTGAATTACTTAGTCCTGAATGGCATAAAAGAAAACCATTCTATATGATTCTACAGTCTTTCAACTCAATGCACAAGAAGTTTGTCCTAGGACTTCCCATCAATTCTCCACTTATATTCTACTAGCAATAAGTTGTGATCAGTAATAGTAAATATAACAGTTAAACAGCAATATAATGGGATTTAAAATATGCAGAACGACTTCGGTATGTTGTCTTATGCCCCAAAATAATTTCCAGAAAGTAAACCTGCTAAAAAGGACAGTCACTCACAAACTAGCTATTCTAGAAAAGGAAAGAAGAAATCATTATTAAAAACAGAGGCCAGGCCACAAAAGCCTAGATAAAGTTAAAATGTTAAGTTTAGTGGGTTCTACAGTGTAAAAGGTATCAAAACTTAAAAAAGTCTTATGTCTTTTAAAAGTTTACTAGACACAAAGATAACCCATTACTTCAAATACACCTTACCTGAATGCAGTTTTTCAAGTTGTCCTTTGTTGGCTTCTCTTCTGCAAGTTTTGTGGCAAACTTGAGACCTCTCCCATACATTTTATTTACCAATGCATGCTTATAGGCAAAAGTCAAAACCTACAACGTGAAAACAAAACCAAATTAGGTATTTTAATATTTTAATTTTAAAACGCTTAACAAGTAATAGCTTCTGTTAAGGTAGCAGAAGTGATCTAAGCAAAGTAAAACATTTACAAGAGAGCTTCCATTTTTCTTTGCAGTAAAACAGATGATTCACAGTAGTAGTTATAAAGATGAACTTCTTAAGAGACTGTTTCTGACATCACGAACATATCTGAATTCAGAACATCTTATGTAACACAGATGTCACTATTCTAATTTTTTATTCATCACATTTCTAGCTTTTTCAGATTTTCATTCTCTAAAGGCAACTGTATGGTATGAAAAAGAATTAAAAAAAATCAAGAACTAGGCAGGTATATCTTTGACCCACAGAAACAAAGACCCAATTAAGAGTTTTGATTCCTAAGAAGTCACAAACTTACTGCAGAAACAACGTACATAGTGAATTATATATATATATATATGTACACACACACACACACACACAGAGAAATGCACGTAATTATAAACAAGCAATGAAGACAGATAAGCATGAAGACAAGCCTTAGGTTTTGGATCCGCTTCTCACTATTGGTAATTTATTAAGAAGAGGTTACAAAAAGCTTCCTCTTGACAATACTAATTCTAAAGAGACAGCTTACTATACTTGTCAATGATATAACTAACTTGCACAAATGAATGCATCTACTTAAAAGCTAATGTAAAGTAAATCAGGTTCTTAACACCCGTTCAGGGTGTTGCAAGATAGTTCATACTATTTCACCAGTTACAGCACTATGAATTGTTTCATATATTCCCTTTGGCACACACTCAGTAAATACCTTTTTCTTCTTTTTTACTGAAGAGTGACATAGCAACAAAGTTGGTGAATATGGTGGTGCTTCTGTTGTTGGCAAAGTTTATTAGAGTATGCTATTCAATTTCCCTCCCTTGTTAGTATGTTCTTCCTTCCTCCACTGACTCCTCCAACAAAAGTTACATTTTCCCAATGCCCACTTAAAATATCCCATTAAGAAAAGCTAACAAAAACACTTCAAGGATGTTCAGAAATAAATGTTTTGCATTACAGCAAACAAAAATTTTAAACATTTCTTAAGAATATTAACATTTAGGAATCTGATATCTGAATCCTGCAAGGACTGAAGAACCTGCCTAATTTTAGCTGCCTGAACACTTCCATTGAACATTAATCACATGCACAGGATTTTGCAGGATCAGTACTTAAAAGACTGAGCTAAAAGAAGAAATAACAAGCTTAATTATCAAGCAAGTAAAGGTATAAATTTGAAGCTCTAAACTATATGCCAAGCAGAGTTGCTCATACTTCTTCTGTCTTTGAGCACTTACTTTGTTGTGTTGAAGTATTCACTTAAGCTGTTATAGCTTAAAACACACACATTTATGCAACAATGAGCATACAGCACCATTCACATACAGATTTTCCAAATATTGCTATTGGAAAAATACTTTACAAGCTGCATTCTCAATCCAATTATTTTGGATATGTTCCTAAAGCAAAACACATTAGCAAACACTTCTGAATAACTGCTCAGTGGATCCATTACCAGATTTAGTTAAACTAAAACTAAAAATAACCCAAAACAAAACATCCTTCTGTAAAAGATGATAGAACCACAAAACAAAAAACAACCAAAAAAAATTTAAATGAAAATGCATTGGAGCTCTCAGCAAATATAACATATTGGAGGCTAACCAGAAATAATGTCACTGCTCTATTAAGAAAGCTCTTACCTGACCCTGTAAGTTTTGAATGGTTATTGAACATCAGTGATAAAGGCAGGAGGAAAGCCACTTGACAGCATTTCTTTCGTAACAGGGCTTCCTAGAGTTTTTGTGGCAAGAAAACAAAGCATTTTACGAAACACCCTTGCTCTGGCCAAATAAAAGTTTGGGTATTTCTAAATGAGAAAAAAGTTCTCTGCTGGACCAAAAGGCTGAAAACAAATCTCCAAGAGCTCTTGGTAAAAGACAATAAATTCTGTCTCAGTGCTTGGAAAAAAACCCCAATCAACTGTATACAAGTTAAATAAAACTAACTAAAAGTTCACTAGCACTTCAGAAGAATAATGCATGAGATGCTTTAAAATCAGAATAGGTTTACAAATAAAAAAATGTTACGTAAGAAATAATACTTTATAACTTGTACACATATTGGTCAAATCAAACCTTATCATTAAAATATTGCAAGCTTTACAACATCACAGAAGTGAAGATTATGATTCCTTGATATGTGTAAACAAAATCTAAACTGGAGTGCTACTAAGACATAACAGAAAACAGCTGATATCTGAATGTAACAACAAATAAGCCAATTTGTAGTATCTAAAAGCAGTTGCTAAATGAAAGAATAGGAATAAATTCTACGCCTTTGATACTATTTCATAATTTCAAATATAATTAAGGCTAGCTTTTACAGAACAAGTGATATGGCCCAGGAATGGTCAAAGAGAAATAAACAAAGGGCAGTAAGAAAAGGCAATACATACTTCTAGGATAATGGTGGAGAAATCACTGTTAGCTGCTTTATTCCCCAAGCTAATGGCCTATAATACTAACTGTGCTAAGTTCCTGGCCCATGAGAGTTGTTGGATGTCCACCTCCTAATTAGCTGCTTAACTTGCCATTGGCTACATAGAGATGTATAGTTAGGACAGTAAAATGCCCAACCCAGATCTCCCAAGACATTTGCAGTACTTTAAAAGCCTGAAAACCTCTTTAAAAAAGAATATTTTTTGAATCAAATGACACTAAACTACCTCATAAAACTTGTCTAGTATCACAATACTGTTATCTATGAAAAGAAAAAGACTTGTATAATCAGTTCCTTCATTATTTAAACAGTTGATTAAAATGTATCTATACTTACAAATAATTAATACTAGGTTAAGTGCTATAGTTTATAAACACACTCCAACTCTTGAAAGAACACAGTTTATAATTACCAGCAACAAATTTTTTCAGGTTCATACGTATCAATGGTGATAAACTAAGGTTTCTTAGCTATGTTGTTGGACTTCTCTTTGCTCTGTCAACTGTTCTATTACAAATAAAAGCAATATTCATATAAAAAAGTTGACTCAACATATTTTCAAGAGAGGGAGGGGAGTTAAGGGAATCAAGTAGCCAGCAACAAGTTTTTGGCAGTGACTGAATATGATCAGCTAGAAGAGACAGCTGCATCTGACAGTGCAGTTATATGAAAAACAACCCAGGCTAAAGATGTTTAAAAGACAAGATGGAAAGGTCTGGGCCTTCTATTTGTTTTTATACATGACTTTTTGCTTTTCCCCAACAGCTAATTTAAAGGTTGAGGGGC